AAGAAACTAGCGGTGCTGCAGCAGGACCTACTACATTGTTACATATGTCACTTACATTATAATACTAGACAGTGGCGAACCCAAGAAGGGGGGTGGGTGCGAAATATCCTGGGTGCCACTAGTTGAACCCGCAAAGGAGTTTCAAATTCAAAGGGCTGCGTGGTCAACCAAATCGATCGATTAAATTTGATGAAATTCCTGTGTGAATAGCACTAGCGTTGTTGGAGACAGCCGTGACAAACGGACGCACACACTGCCGAAAATCAATTTTTCGAAATCAAGAACCCACAAACCACAGCCACAGAGCCACACAGCCACACACCCATAAAGTATTTGAATCTACGTTAAATTCTAGAGAATATACAACGTATTCATCGTTAACATTTGTCTGGAAAATGGAAAGTTTCGTGTGTTTTTTGTTTTTGTTTTCCCACGTTTTTAAGAAATAAGAGGCAGAAAAATAAGTTCACATGAACTGCCAACCACAAATATTATGATCGACATAATCACATGTGTCGGTTGTAATATGAACATCAGATCACTTCTATGTGACTTAATCGGTTATTTCTGCCCTAAAATGAGAACATTGGTGAAGGATGGTTCTCAACGCAGAAAAAGGTTCATTTATTGTTGACTGATATAATTAATTTTTGTAAATGTAAAAGAAAAAATGTAAAAAAAAGGTCTTAATAAAAAATTAACTGAAGATCATACATATTTCTGGTGAGGTTCTTGTTGTTTGCTCCCATTTTATCAAGAACATACTGATATTGGCCCATAATTTTCCGTGAAGGTTGGTTGTTGATGTGTTAGATTAATTCGTGTCTTTCAAATTCACGTTTGTTCGAAATGAAATTGACTCATTACTATTGTCACTCTTGCTTTTTGCAATCTCCGCCATTTCTCTCCCGAAACGACTGAATAATATGTCGCATTTATCCCCTTAACGTACGGTGAGGATCCGTCTGATCGCACCTGCTCCATTAGTAGTTACCTTGTTGAATTTATATTAATTGTCTTCAATTTTCGTTTTCTTTTCTCCCTTTTCTGTAGCTGCTTCTATAGCAGATTTTCCGTTTCGTCCTCTTTCCTACTGTTCTGTTTGCTTGTCTTTGTTTCGATTAATTCGCCTCTCGTATGTTGGCTCTTGCTATTTTTGTGCCGCCCTTTCAGGCCCTCTCTCTTGTACCCTTCGGCCCTTTTCCCACCTCCGCGTCCCGCACCCAGCGAATCAAAGGCGATGCCCTCGCGGCGCGGCAGGTGGCGCGGCTGACGCCACCTCTCTCTCTCTCTCTCTCTCTCTCTCTCTCTCTCTCTCTCTCTCTCTCTCTCTCTCTCTCTCTCTCTCTCTCTCTGCTTCTGCCCCCGCTCCGCCCTGCCCAGTCCCTCCCCGCCCCGGCCCGCCTCGCTCCTCCCCGCTCTGCCCCTCTGCGGTCCTCAGGCGGCGGCCTTCTGAGACTTGGGTGGGCTGCGGTAGTCCGAGTCGTTTGCTTTATTTCCCCTGCATGCGTGTCATGAGCTGGGCAAGGCTTATTGGTCAAAGAAAAACTTGTTCTTCAAGTCATTAGAAAAATATTTCCCGAGTTGTATCGAGCGTAGCCGAAGCGTCCGTCGTGCCAAGGCTGCAGGACTGCCAACGTCGAGAGGTAAACCTCACCTGCGTCCCGTACGGGACGAGTCCGACATTCTTGTGTCATAACTGTTACTGGGTGAGCGAGAGAGCGTGCGTGCCTGCGGGCGAGCCGGGCG